AATAAATAAATAAATAAATAAATAAATAAATAAATGCGTAGCCCAAATTTGAATTTTATGCAGCAGGACTGCTGCAAACAGAAGGTAGCATATTTTTCTCATGCCAACCCCATATATAAGCTTATATGGAGACATAGTTATGCATGTTACATCCTTTTTCCACACATCGATGACCCATACTGAACTCAGAATGGATGACAGAAATATATTCCTAACTCCATTGCTATTGTCAGATTTTAATAGCTTAGTTTAATTAACTAAGGTGAATTAGGAATTTGAAACTAGAGATGCAAAATCACCCAATGAAATAAGTCACATGTTGATTGTGAAAACTGGTCAATCATTTCACCATTTTTCCGTGCAGATTTTAGCCACCTCAATAATGCTTGTACAAAGCTATTTCACCCCACACTGAAAACACACTTGCAAATTATTTAATTTACTTTAAGAAAAAAAAACCCTCATAAGGCCACCTTTAAGTTTACAGTCTTCTGTATAAAACCGTACAGTTTTTACGCACTTTTGTAAAATGCAAGAGGGAGAATGCAAATTGAACATATGTCTTTCATTAATTACTGAGTAATTTTAGTTATATTTACTAGCTATACACTTACTTTCGCTATGCCCTTTCTTCTGAGTAAGTATATATAGATTATGCTTTAAGAATTTAGAAATGTCATTACTTTGTTTCTTTAAGATTATTTAGTTATTCTTATTGTTTATTAAAATCATATCATCTTAAGCTGTACTATGGTTCCAGAACCTCAAAATAACAATTCAAAAGTATTACCAAAATCTAGGCAGGTGATTATTGTCCTCTTCTTTTCCACAGGCTTTTAAGTGGATGAACAGCTGTCCCAGCCTGAAAGCTTTTACTTGTTAATGGGTCCCCAATTTTGTGTCTTCTTTTGTTCACTTGTCACATGTTGGTATGATTCTGCTGACTGTATATTTTGAGTTTGAAACGTCCTGGCTGTAGGTGTGGTTTATGCCTCTAATTACTGTCTAACAACCATATTGCTTCCCTTGGCTGCAGGGAGATAGTTATCTCTTACTATACATGGTCTCCCACCATTCTTTGGATTTATTGATACTTTTGTGCTGTGAGTTTAACTTCATTCTTCTTTATACTGATCACCAACATTTCACATATGACATATCA